AGTATCAGAGACAAGTTTAGGTTTGTATTAATGAAATATTTTAATAGTTATATATCTTATATTTTAAATATTATTGTTATTTTAACGATAATATGAATTTTATTAGATGGGCCTTTTGTTGATTTCCTTTCATTCGCTTCTTATCTTGTACAACACAACCGCTCAACACGCACTGCAAATTATATTAAGCTATTGTTATTTGTACTGCTTATCTTGACTGAAGATGTAACATTTGATAGCCGTATTTCTGATGAAAGCAAAAGTTTCTATGTGAGGCTTTGTAGACAGGTAAAAATGCAAGTTTTTTAATTTCAAGTACTAGCATTGTTGTCTTATATATAATTATTGGTAATTATTGATAATTATTGATGATTATTGATTAACAGAGACAACCTTTACTACCAAGTGTAAAGAACCCTCGTCCTCTAGTTTGTGCAGTGTTAGATATTTATATAGGCTTTATAAACCACAATATGCGAAAAAAATTGCAGATAGATTTATATAGGTTTGCATAAAATACAGTTAATACAGTTAATACAGTACGACATTAATAATTTAATTTCTTGTTATTAAAAGATATTTTTATTGTATTTTAGTTTAGCTTTGGGAATTATCCAACGAATAATGTCTTATCACAAAAAATTTAGAGTTGTATTATGTAAGAACTAATTACTAAATTAATTGTTATTCAGGTTAATTTATATATTGTTCTTTATAACCATATGTTATATTTACCTTTTTTTTAGCGTATCATTGGTCAGAATTATGGCATTCTTTGATTGGGTTACTCAAATTCATTCTTTCCAACTACGATAACTTCCAACAAGACCATTCATCTATCAATGAAATATTGATCCCAATAATAAACATCATTAATCTGTGTATCGTATTTGGAGATTCATTTTTTCCAGATACGGAAACTTATGATGGTTTAATTTATGAGATTGTAAGATCAAACGAGGTCTTTGAAGGTTTATATAAAATAGGTGAGTTGACAATATAATATGAAGAAATATTTATTACGCTTAATACGTTTAATGTTAATAGAATTTTTATTATTTCCTAAATTAAAATCATTAGTCAATATACAAGATCCAGCTAAACCTTCATCGCAAAAATTCTCATCGTTTGAACATGCTTTTGCAAATATAAATACTATTTGCCAACACTTTCATTTAAAGATAGAAGCTTGGAAAGCGACGAATCGAGTAAAAACATTGCTTCCTGAGCAGGTATTGTATTTTGTTATAAACATTCAACGTATATGCATATTTATTGTTTCAATGTCATAACTTAATTTTTTTTAATCGTTTACAAAATATTATAGGTCTTGTGTAAGTATTTGTCTAATAGCTTGTTTTTTATTAAAATGTAAGACTTTTAATAATTTAATAATTTTTTTTTCACTTGATATTTTAGCAATTATTAATGCAAATTATGATAGTCTGAATTTAATTACGCCTGAAAAACTTGATAATTACATTTCTTATAGTGAAATACCATATCAGGTACCTTTTGTTAGACAGGTTTTGAGATTGGTAGTTGAAGATTTTAAGAGGCGTGAAGTATTGTTGGATTAAATTATTTTTATGTTAAATCTAAAGTGTGTTGATTTCCAATTTTGAGATTTTGAGATTTTTGTAACGATTTATTTTTGGCTAGTTTTGAAAATTATGTGATAGCTTTTCAAATTTCATTTTTGTTTCTAAAAAATATATATATTTTTTCAATCTACTTTAAATTTTAGAATAATTTATTACTGCATGGTACTTTTAGATGCATTTTAAATAATTACGATAATATTTGTGACTATAATGTTTAGTTTTTTGCCCATTATACTTAATAATTTACTAATTATGATCAGTTTGCTACACAATATTAGATTATTCCATAGTAAACTAATATACAGTATTTTAGGCTATGTGTGAATTAAGTTTTTATTTGATTAAATGTTAACAAGAATGAATATACATTAGAATAATGATATACCGTATTGACGCGTAATAACGCGCAGATGCGCACTATTTCGAGATCCTGCGCGTTATTTTGGGACGCGCATGCGCGGTAATTCGAATCATTTGACAAATTTGGTTACAAGAGAACTTAGCCTGAAAATTCGATCAAAATATGTAATATAATACATTTAAGAGGATGCATTATTTTGGACGCGCATGGGCGTTATTTTGTGTCAAAAAAACAATTTTCAAAAAATAATTTGTCTCTCATCGGGGATTACAAAAGAAAATCAAACGAAAAAAATCAATTATGGGTTATTTGTCCCTTCCGCTTTCGTGCTATGCTACTAACAGTACAGAATTCGAGAGTATCGAATGAAGCGACTTGCACTACTAT